ACGTACAGCCGCTAGTAGTGCTGGCTTTGTTCAAGATGGTGGTAAAGGATGAAACGGACCTAGCTTTGGACTCAGACACGTGTCTTCTTTTAAAGCACAGCATGTTTTGGTTTTGTCTCAAGTAGGCTCTGCGCCCAGCATGGAGCCCAGTTCAGGGCTTGAACTCATGACCCTGAGATCCAAGACCTGAGCTGACACTGAGTCGGACGCTTAACCGACTGAGCCTCCCAGATGCCCTGAACAGGATGCTGTTTTCGCATCACACACACACACGGGTGTCTAGAGAGATATTTCAGGGGCAACAGTGGGAGACTTTAAAGAGGCCACGCCATTTGGTACCAATCTTAATGACTTACGACAAATGACTTAGCTATCTAGATTTTATTGTTATCAATGATGTTAATAATGGGGGCCTTAGATTTTTAAATCAGATACAACCAGGTCTGTTGTTAAAACGTGCAGGGCCCTGGGCAAGAGTCCTCGTGAGGCCCACCTCCCATGTCTAGATCCTTACAACTTGTCAATCAAGCTGGCAAACTGTCAAGTAAAAAATGTTCTATCTTCTTGGTAAAGCCATTACAAATCTTTTCATAATGGTGATATATTTTTCTGACTTTTGTTTTGTTTTACTTATTTAATAGAAAATTACTGCAGACCTGAACTGGCTGTTTTTCTGGGTGATTCCAATTCCGAATGGCAACTAGAATCGGGGACCGGTCAGGAATCTCCTTGATCCCCGAGGTGGTGTGAATCAACTGCGGCCTCAGAAATACCCACTCAGAGCTGTTCTGCATCTTACACAAAACATCAGTAACACAGAGCACATCACTGCTGTATGCGCTACGGCAGTTACTCTGAAACCTGCAGTCCCTTCAGCTAGAAAGCACTTGATGGTGGACGTGAATAATGCGAGTGGTGAACCCTGCTGTAAAATGCAGAAGTCAGCTTGCTTCTTGAATCCCTACTCAGGGCTTACAAACCCCTCCCCCCAAATAAAAGCATGAGGGTACCCACACACAATGGAACCAGGTGACCTTGGTCATCAGGGAAATAAAGATCAAAAGGTATTTTCTCTTGGCAGGATGGCCATTATGATACAGCATGAACCATTCATTGAGGAAGAAGCCTATATTCACTGGGAGGGACCATACGTCTCAGTGTTGTTCAAAGCCAGATGGTGAAAATCAGGATCTCTTGGGCAAATAGAAGAGAATCCTTTTTTATTGGTGTGGGGCAGGATTGTGCATGGCCTTTTAATGCTTCCCAGGTGCTTCTCATGTTCTGCTGTGTGGTCCATTGTACTACTTTCTGGGGTTCTAAGGGTAGTCTTTAGCCAAGAAGGCGATATAATAATAAAGAATAAAAGAAAAAAAAAAGAATAAAGAATAAAAGAATAAAAATAATAAAGAATAAAATAAAGAATAAAAAGTCACCTGAAATATTTCCAAGTGGAATAAAGGCTCTTTGCAGGACCTTTGAAACTGTAGAAAAACATGACATCTTTTATGATCCCTAACTACAAACAAATTAGAGGAATTTTACACTACAAGTTTCCCCTTGAAATCCTAGAAATGAAACCAAGGAAAAAGCCCTCCACCCCTCTGGGCTACACCAAGGGAAAGGCAAGTGAGAGAAGAACCAGGGTATGCTGAGGAGGGGAGGGGGCAGGGAATGGTCCCACAGGGTGGGAAGGGTTCAAAGTGAACTGCAGCTAGAGCTATTTGTAATTCCATGGTTATGGACAACCTAATCTCCCAGGATTTATCCCCAAAGGGATTTTTCTCAGAAGTTGGAAGGAGCCGCTGACATATATAAGAAAAGCACGAAACTTTCTTCCCTGTATCTTTGACTATGAACATTTATGTATGGGTCCCACTAAACGGACTGTTGCCTTGAAATGAACATCGGGTAAGTTACAAAACACCCCCCCAACACTTACCCCCCCAACACACACACACCCCCCCCCCCCCCCACACACACACGCAATCCAAGAGGGAGCAGAATGGTTGATTCAACATCTAAACCACGGTCGTCTGCTTTAGGTGAAAGCAACAGAAAGAGAAGTCACTTTGTAAGGCTTGTTTCAGAGTCTGACATAGGCTTAAAAATATCTCCCTGACAATAAAGATGATCTTGGAACAGCTGAGCAGTTCTGGGACAGGTAGGGTAGGGGCATCAAGATTAAGGACCAGAAGGTGCCAGCTAGGAGTCCCTCGAGCCTACAGTAATTCAGGCAAGAATCCAAAAGTGAGCCTGTTTCCACGGTCTAGGAAATGAAGGAATGGGATATATTTGGTATTTGGAAGGCAGTCCGAAAAGAAATAATTGCTGGGTTTGGCAGAAGATTAAGCATAAAGGCAATAGTATGTGTTGGGCACCGGGCCATGGCGTGCTTTTCGTAATCACATTTAATCCTCTCAATAACCTTTCGAGAAGACATATCTGTGTCTATTTTACAAGAGAGAAGACAGGGCTTAGAAACTGGACTTGTCCTTGGCCAAACAACCACTAAATGGCAGAGTCAGCGTTCAAACGTGGGACTGACAAACCATGAATTATTTCTGATGTTGCTCCCAAGATAGTGTGGCCCAGTGGTGACAAGGAAGTGTAGGGAAAGACGGGGAAAGGCAGATAAGCAATTTCATCTTCTCTAATTAAGCTGGTGAAAGAGAAATTCAAGTTATAATGCCTGGAAGTATTGGGTTGGAGGACAAGTAGGTTGGATGAGATTTTTTAAAAAATCTGTGCATAGATCCGTGCTGTCCAATAGAAAAAAAAAAAGGCAAGACACGTGTAATTTGGGGTTTTCTGGGAGCCACATTAAAAGAGTAAAAGGAAAAAGGTGAAATTAATTTTAATGACACATTTTATTTAATTCAGTATATTCTCGTTCCAACATGAAATCAATAATAAAAAAACCATTGAGATACTTTCCTTTTGGGGGGTGGGGTCCTAATTCTTTACAATCTAGGACATTTTGATTTGGACCCACTATGTTTTTAGTGCTCAATGGCTGCATGGGGCAAGTGGCTGCCATTCGAGACATTGCAGATATCCAGAGTACAGAGACCACGTAATGCGATGCATGCCTCGGGGTGTGGATAATAAGGAACCAAAAGTAGACTCTTAGAAATGCCCATGCACGGGTGGCCAGAGGGAGACTCTCCCAATGAGACACTGTTCGAGGCCTTGAAAAGTGGCAAACTATTTGAGAGAGGAACTGAATAAACAGAGCCTCCAGTGAATTTCTACGTCCTACCATTGCAACAGGCTAAGTGAGACGGGAGCTTCAGAGAAGCCCAAACCCCCATGGCGGGGGGTGGAGGGATGGGGGGGTGCGGCGTGGGGCTTCAGTCTGTAAGAGGACCCATCCAGGTGCAATGAGCATTCAAAGAAAACCTCCTAGTTAATGTCAAATGCACAAGGGGTCATTACTGACTTCCCTCCTGGAGTAGCATTTAAAAATTGGACTGAAGCCAAAGGCCATCAGATCAGACCAGTGAATTTTGCTACGGCTAAGGATTTGGTTTTTGACTCCTGTAAGTTTTGTGGCTTGCCCCCCAGAACACAGTGCTCATCTGAAAGAGACACAGTGATTTTCTTTTGTTGATGTTGGTATTAGCTTAGAGAAAATGGAAGTAAGTATTTTTTAAAAGAAACATTACTTACTTATATCATGATATTCTTGGGAAATACAGCCATCACGTAGCACGACTTTGGAGCACCTATTATGACGCACTTAGGGAAAGTGGGGACTCAGTAACGGGAATAAATGACTGATGGCACCATTTCATTTAAAAAGACATAGTTTTTTTGATAATTGAATTAACAGTCATTTGTGTTTTAAAAAATCATTTCATTCTGCGGAAATTGAATCTGGAAATCGAGAGAGAAAATACTTCCTTTTTCTTCTCAACTTTCCCCTTCTTTCATAAAATAATAGGCAGCAGAGTGAGAATTAAAAAAACACAAACAAAAAAATGGTTCTTCATGCAGTGATCAAGATGCCAGTGATCTCTATGTCAGTCCCGCCTGGTAGTGCTGCTATCCGCTATCTGTCACTGTCAGAAGTTCTTGAAAAAGCGACTGGTTCCTTCCCAAAGCCCAAACAGTGTGTTTCCAGTTCAGATGATCAGCACCAAGCAGAAAAACTCCCTTTTTCCTGACTTGAGCCCACACAGACTCTTGCCTCCTCCTCTACCCACAAGCACAGCTGGGGAAGATCAGCTCCCTTAGAAGATCTGGGCATAGCCCCCAAATCCAGGCAGAGCCAGGAGGGGTGTCCCAGCAACAATAACAAAGCAAACTGTTTCCTTGGAGCTCCTCTAGACGTGGGTGGGAGGGGACAGGGGACAGGGTGTCTCATAAGCATCAAGTGTATAATGCCTATTTGTAAAACACTCTCCCCTCTTCAGACACTTTCTATATTTACTTATCTGCCTTGCATGCTCAGAAATCCCACTGCCTTTTTTTTTTTTTTTTTTAAGGCAAAACTATCTTGGCTTCCTGGACTTTTGCATACTGTTCTAAATATACTGCCCCACTCACTGATAAGAGTATCTCTCTCTCTCTCTCTTTTTTTTTTCTTTTTCTCTAGTTCACAAGTTGGTGGGCCACATGATCTCCTAGAAAATTCTAAGAACTGATAAGAATGTGTGTTTTAGAAGAAGAGGACAGAAGAAAAGTCCGTGGTAGGTAGAAATCATCCTTCTTTTTGCGCTACATGGAGAAACGCAAAGATCGCAGCAGGATGAAATACCTCAAAACTCCATTCCCCTGTGACAGGTCTACGCATATGCCACTAAGCTGTGGGTCAGGCCCCAACTGGGCCGAGACTGCCCGCCACATCCCAGAGCAGCCACAGGAGCTGGGTGCTCACGTTCGGACCCGCCCCCGCCCGGGGAGGTCATGCTGCTGCTGTGGGGGTCAAAGGAAAAACATATCATCAAACACAATCATTTCCGAGCGTGACTTTTCCTTTTTTTTTTTTCCTGGATTACCTTGATTCGGGGTATTTGGTGAGGGTGGCCAGGCTGCTGGTGTACATGTGACCGCCCACATCAATGTGGACGGGCGCATTGGATTTTGTGAGTTGCGCTGGAGTAGGAATGCCTTGGTTGTTCAGTGGAGATGCAGGAGATCTAGTGATCAGAGGTCTTGACATATTGGGTCGACTGTCCTACAGAGAGATAAGCAAGTTTAGACACGTTTTCATCTTTTCAGTGGAGAGAAAGGAAACACATGCATCATCAAGAATAAGCCAGCGACTAGCGCTGACACTCATTCCACAGTAACATCTCCCCAAACCAGCGGGCTCTCGCTCTTGTTGTAATGAGTATCAGGAAAACAAAATCTGTAACGAAGAAAAGGAAAACTTCCCACGCTCAGAGTCAAGGAGGGGAACTAATGTTCATTTCCAATCATCCTGAGCTCTATGATGGCTTATCTCACTAATGAATTCTCGCATTTAACAACTGGTAAATGGCACGTGGAGAGCTACGACTCACTCCAAATGAAAAGACAATCAACGCTTGAAACAACCCACGCCTAAATAAAATACAGATGCTTTATCTTTCTCTCTGGAAACTTACTGCTAGGCAGTTGGGATAAATACAGACCTTTCAGCACTTGTGTTCTGCAAAACGTTTTCCTTGATTTCTATTTTTCCAACCAGGAAGAGAGGCTAGGACTAGCTTGGCCATTGGCACACATTCTGAAAGCAACCTTGTAAACAGGTACCATGAGTTCAGCCGTCAAGAGATTAAAAAAAAAAAAAAATCCACACACACGCTACCCATTTGTTCTCTGCTTCTCTGTGTAACACTGTGGGTCTGGGGACACTCTGGAAAGACTGTACCCTTCAGTGGTTAAATACGTGCTTGGGAGCCACGAGCAAGGTGCTCTTCTCTACGCCCGCCCGACTTCTTGAAGACATCAAGCTCCCGGGGCAGGTGCTGATGGAGCCGTCCCACCGGCAGGGGTGCGGGTAAGGAGAAGAGCGGACAGAGGACCCACCCCCGGGGTGGGCGCGAGAGCATGCCGAAGGAAGCATCCTCTTGAGGAAATAAAATATCACATCCTTTCCATGGATATAATATAAATATTTCAAACACTATCCAAACATGGTCAGTTGCTTTTAAATAAGAGACCAAACCACAGACAAGTCAAGTCAGGTCCCTGGCACTCCAGGAAAGGGTCAAATATTTCTAGCCCGCAATTGAGGAATAAGCTAAAATAGCATTTACGTCCGAGTTCTGCAAGACGAGTGCCACAACAATACTTTCAGATTTATCATTTGGCCCAAAACTGTTTTCAAACATGCAAACAATGCCTGGCGAAGTCAGCAAGAAGGCATAATAAAGGGGTTTTGTAAAATGCCTTTGATGGAGATTATAAAAGGGAAGTCATCTAGTTTTTGTGCATAAAACCCAGCACGATAAAATATAAATTTGCAAAACATCAGAGATTTTATGACCTGAAACAGCTCTAGGAGTTACCTGGGGCACAACTGTTAGACTACTTAGCATTAACCACATGTCCAGGCAAGACCGAATGCACAAGCTTCCTGAAACTCTGAGCTACCGTGAATGGGGCGGGATGGGGCCTTCACACACAATGCTGACCATCTGTGTTGTGCTCTGCTCCACCCTGGATTAAACAGGGTCCAAAAACAGTCATAGGACAAGAGTTTACGTTTTATTTCTTACGTGGGGTGGTTGATTCGTGGGTGTTGACTATACTATTCTTTATACGTTCCTACGTATTTTTAATAATGCAAAGGGATATTAAAAAACGCATAAACGGATGTTTGTAGCACACCGAGGAGAGAATGTGAAGAGGCACCGGATGGGGGGAAAAACCAAGAAACAAAGACACAGTTGGTAGAAAATATCAAACAGTTTGGGTTTGAAAATACTAAAAGTTAGCACTTTAGAATTCAAATGACAAAGAGCAACATTCGTCCTTTAAAAATGCAATCCCATAGCCTCTACTTCTAAGAGCTTCTCCCTACCTGGCTAAAGACACCCCCTCCCCCACTCCGTGTCCTCCGCCCCGTTACAATTCATCCCATCACGGCACTGCAGTGTCTGTAATAGTTTTTCAATTGGACACATTCTGTATCCCGCCTGAGGGTGCTCAGGCGAAAATGAACAGATTTGCAGGGTTAATACTGTAGTTAGACTGTGACCTCATTCAGCACAGCTCCAATACTGCCAGGTCTATATAGAAGGAGAAAAAAAATGAAAGCATAACTGATCGGTTGAAGGATTCCAGATTTCCCAGAATATATAGCATTTACATTGTAAATCATGAATGTATGGATATTGCTAAATTTAAAATTAAGCCAGTGTTTTCTTCAGCGGCGGGGCAGCGGGGATTGGGGAGGGGAATGAACCCTTAAGGGCCAGGAAGGGGGCTGAGGCCAGACTCTGGCAGGACTGTCAGCTGCTTTGTCCTCCCCTTCATCCTCTTTCTCACTCTGGGAGCCTTCCCTGGTCTGTGTGTGCCCCCTTAGTTAGATGGCTTCTAAGGCACTTTTCAGTCTAAGGGAGACGGAAAGAACTTGGAAAATCCATAGGCTGGGATGGAGGGAGGATATCTGGGGCTGTGCAGTCTTGGCCTTTACAGCAGATACCCAGCCTCTACTCCGATGCTTCATTGTACACATTCTGACAACCCCCTTCCTCGCCTATGGCTTTCTCTTCTTTCTTTCGACCCCGAGCTTCCAGAAGGGGTGCCATCTTCCTACTAGCCTCGGGAGGAAGCCGGTGCCCAAGCTGAGCTGGAAAGGACCCAGGTTCTTGGGGACGTTGTTGACACACCCACTCAACCAACCCCGAGCCTCTCTCTAAATGTCTCGTTACGTGGGACAACCGAGTTCCTCATATTTCAAGCTAGAGTTTTCTGTCACCTATCCTGACAGGATACCCTTCCTTTCTCTACACCGCTGCCTCCCCATGAGATCATCTGGCTTGGAGAGACATGGCCTGTGATGCCAAGATCAGCTGCCCGCTGACAGATGCAGAATTTTCTACCGTATTATGACCATTTTGCAGCTCCACTTCCCCATCTGCCTTTCCCTCTGATTGCTCACCCAGCATCCTCTCAGTCTGGATGTCTTTTTACTGTGATTTCCGATGAAAGGCAAACCAAACACTTCAACCAGGAAGGGCGCAAATGTGGGTACTGATGCGTATTCTGTAAGAGGCCTGGACAGAAAGCTGTCTCAGAGCAACTCCCATATGGATTAGACCATTCTCTCCACCTGGGAGAGAGGAACCCTACCATGAAGCTGCATGGTTACAGGCCCTTTGGTGTGCAGCCCATTGTACTCTCCTTCCACAGTATTTGCTACCCTCTCCCAAGAGCCAGGCATCGTACCAGAGACAGATATGCAACACTGACCATGACAGAATGGTGCCTGACCTCACCGAGCTTGTTCAGTGGGGACGGAAGCCACGAACCAAGCAGCTGCTACCAGAAGGGGGGAGGTGGGGCACGGACAGGTCAGTATGAAAGCTGAATTGAGGAGACATGTAACCCAGGCTTGGGGGCTGGGAGGACAGTTGGGGAAGGTCTCCTGAAGCCAAAGCCAGTCTAAGCTAAGATCTGATAGATGAGAAATCAACCCACAGTGGGATGCTAGGAGGAGGTTTTCAAGCGATACTGCCAAGGCCCCAATGTCGGAGAATGCATGGAACCTTCTAGAAATTAAAAGTGCAGCATGTTTAACAATTCTCCCATTTATTTTTTCCCCCAAGGTCTGGAGGGACAATCTAGAAAACAGAAGCTTATAAGATGATGGTCTGAGAACCACAGAATTAAATGTTAACTGAGAAAAACTAAAGTCACTACAACATCCTTATGTCTGCAAAGGGGAAAAGGGCAGAGGAAGACAGCTAACAGCCAGCTTTCTCAACATCGCCATCCAACAGGGCTTTCTACCACAATGGAAACATTCTAGATCTGCTCCATTCAGTAAGGTGGCCACTAGTGACATGTGACTATTTTGAGCATTTGAGTGTGGCTAACAGAACTGAAGAACTGAATTTTAAATTGTATTAATTTAAATTGTAATGGACATAGCCACATAGCCACATCCCACCAGACAGCACAGTAAATCTTGCTTGAATTTTTCTTAATATGTGGAAGCCCAAATCACAACAGACTTGAACTTATCAACTATGTTTATTTATTTAATAAAGTATGTCTTTAAAGATTATATTTTTAAGTAATCTCTACACCCAACGTGGGGCTCAAACTTACAACCCCAAGATGGAGTCGCATGCCCCACAGACTTAGCCAGACTGGCACACCATCTGCCCCCCCCCATGTTTACATGGAGAGGCAGTTACTGCAGAAGGGAATATAATACGGCTTAGGACCTCACAGCATTATTTCTCTCTTTTGACTGATTTTATGAAAATAAATGAAATTAACAGCCATGCAGTGAGGAAAACGCAACATTTACAGCTCTCACAGAGAGTGCATGGAGAAAAGGCACCAAGGCACGCTCTGTATGATTCCACTCACATGAAGCTACAGACCACAAAATGAATCCGTGAAGACACAGCTCAGAACACTGGCCACCTGGGTGTGCTGGCATGGGGCAGGGGAGGCTTACTGACTGAGAGGGGTAAGAACGAGCCTTCAGGACTGCTAGACAAGTTCTAAATCTTGATCTGGGAGGTCCCATAGTTGTACACATGTGGACACTTAAGATTTATTCACTTTATTCTCAGTTTCATTAAGAAAGAGAATAAACCGAAAATAATCCTGGAAAAACTTCAATCAAAACAACTTACTGTTCAAATGCTTGTGTAAATTTCTGTGAAATACTGCCTTTTTAATTTTATTTTTATTTCAGAGAGAGTGAGAGATAGAGAGAGAGAGAGAGCAGGAGAGGGGAGAGGGTCAGAGGGAGAAGCAGACTTCCTGCTGAGCAGGGAGCCCGATGTGGGACTTGATACCGGGACTCTGGGATCATGACCTGAGCCGAAGGCAGTCCCTTAACCAACTGAGCCACCCAGTGCCCAATATCGCCTTTTTTTTTTAAAAGCTAAAAAGATGTTCATTATTTCCTCTCACAGGATGCATCAGTCTAACTCCAGTACTCAGACATGAAAGAGCCATCTGAAATTTTCTTTCAAATTCCTCTTTCCCCCATTTCTATCCCAT